GCAATGCCTCTTTTTCGCTGAAAATTATTAAGTTGGCTCTTCGGTTCACTAAGTTTGGCCACCATGTCCCCACCTTCCCCGGACCTGGAAGGCCAATAAAACCACGGCCTCCGAGTGGAGAAGGCACAGCGCAGGGAGAAATTCTGACGGAAGCGCATGTGGACTCCTCACTCGCACACACTCAACAGGGCAGCTCCCCAAGGAGGTGACTGCCTGCCAGGGAGGAGCGGACGAGGGGAGGAGCGGGAGCGGCTGGCAGGCCGCGGGCGGGAGGGGAGGCCGGCTTCCTCCAGCGCTCTGGGTAGAAAGTCCTGGGAAGCCTGTCCGTTCAGCTGAAAAATATTTCCCTGACGTATTTTAACATGTCCTCGTCCTCCTCGGGGCTTCTGCTGCGGGCAGAGTCAGACCCCGCGGGCCCCTGAGGGCTGTGGCCTGGAGGAAGGGCGTCTTTCTCATTGTCCTCGTCCTCACTTCTGCTCCCAGGAGAGCTCGGTGACGGTGACAAAGCGGAGTGGGCCCGGGACAGCTCCGGCTTATCAGCACCAGCCGGAGTCGGTGGCTCCAAGGGCTGTTCCTGTTTCCGGGCCTGCCAGGTAGGAGAAATGAGGGGCAAAACAGACATCGTGCTATTTCCCGAATGAAATAACCGCCGGCGATGCAGAACACATGCGGAAGCCACTGTGAAGCGTGTGACCGGCTCGAGCACCGCCCCAAATCAGAGCCTCCCCCTCTCCACCCCCTCCTCCCCCGACCACCCCTCACAGCTCCCGAAGAAGTCAAGACCCCCTTGGGAGAGAGGCGGGCAGGGGCCTGAGGAATGGCAGAGTGGAAAAGAAAAATAGGAAAAGCCTATCTGGAAAGGTGGGGGTGACAGAACGGAAGGACCACGGGTACAAAACTTGAGTGTGGGCCTACGTTCTGTCACTTATCGGCTGTGTAACTATGGGAAAGTCCCTGGGTGTTAATATCTTCATCTGTAAAATGGGGACAGTAATACCTGCAATCACTATCACCGGGTTATTGCAAGGATTAAATGAGGCAACAACCTAGGAAAGCACCTGGTCAACTAGAAAGTACTCCACAACACTAAGGTGGCAGTTACTATTCGCTTCAAAAGCCAGGAGACTTGGGTGGCATTCGGCTGAGAAGTCACCTCACCCACCTGAGACCCTTCAGAGGACGTAAGCAGTGAAAAACTTCCGTCCCCTCCACATACCACACACAGTCACCCAGAGAGAGCTGCTCTCCCACCCACGACCACTCCGTCCCCAGGTGTCCAGCCCCAAACATTCAGTGACACCGGACATGGGGAGAGGCCAAGGGGAGCACGAGAAGCGCTAGACAAGGGACAGCTGGACGAAGGGGGATGATGACAGGGTTCCCCAAGGCCGACTGAGAATGCAGGGCGTCTCCTTTATTGCCATTAACCAAGGGCCCGGTCCGGTTTCTGGTCGTGAGAGTAAGAAGAGACACAGTGGACTTTACCTCAATCAGTATCCCCAGGGCGACATCCACCATTTCGGCCTCACTCATGCAGTACACAGTCCTCGTGGCAGGAAGTCTGAAAGGAAGGCATGATGCTACAGATGGGGACAGATGGGTCTCGGGTCTCCGGTCTCACGAGGGGGGCAGAAAATGAGGGCAAGAGTCCCATTCCCAGGCCTCCCGATTTGCCACGCGCACCTCTGTGGGGCTGAAACCACCCCCCACCTCACCGTTCTGCCCGCACCGCAAGACTCAGCGCCAGCAACTGTGACGCCTCCAAACCCTCCCTCCCTCCTCATTCCCCAGGACCCCGACCGGAAGTTGTCCCACCTTGCGGCGGCAGCCCTTGGCATTGCTGCCGATGTCCTCGCTTTCGGGGTCTTCACGGGCACCTTTCTCTTCTCGGCCACCTGGGCTGTCATCCATGTGGGAAGGACCCTCTTTTTATCCCCAGATTTGAAGGTTTCCATCTCTCTTTTCTCTCATGAAGGAAGACGAGTCAGGGCCCAGGCTTAATGACTTGCTTTTCTAATTCAGGACGGGGAACCCCACTCTCATCCGACCGGGAACTTTAGGTCTGTTTGTCCTGCATGGGAGTCACGCTTGAAATCCTACAAAGAACAAAGTCCAGTGAGCTCTAATAAGCTGGGATACTTCCAGTCACCAGCTGAAATTACTGGTCAGGACAGGCCAGAGGTGGACAGCAGGCCCCAGGAGACTAAGATGGCCCATTCCCCTTCTCCCTGCCATCCAAGATGCTCGCTGTCCCCAGGGTGCCTAGCCTACCCTGAAAATCTCTCTCATGATCTCTCCCTCATCTCCCCAACTCCAGACTTCTCATTTCCTCTACCTTAGTGTGGTTACAGACAACTCCAAGACCATTTTGAGTCCCCGCAAGGTTTAAATGGCCAACACTCCCTCCCTTAATCCAAAAATACTTCTGGGTGGCCACATTTTAGCCAGCAGTAGGGATTAGGAACCACAACCGGACCTGCTCCAGGAAGGAGGTAATCCAGAAGGTGCCCTGACAGCCTGTCTCATCTAACCTGGTCTCTCTTCTCCCCACCCCCACTTACCACCGCCA